TCTGGTCTGGTCTGGTCTGGTCTGGTCTGGTCTGGTCTGGTCTGGTCTGGTCTGGTCTGTCTGGTCTGGTCTGGTCTGGTCTGGTCTGGTCTGGTCTGGTCTGGTCTGTCTGCCTGCCTGTCTGTCTGTCTGTCTGTCTGTCTGCGTGTGTGTGTGTGTGTGTGCTGTGTCTGTGTCTGTGTCGTGATGTGGACTCCTTGATTAATCAGTCCCCTTTCCTTCTAAGCCCACGTTTGAGGACTCCTATAGCAGTTGTTGTTTCACTGTTTGCGGCTCGCCGAGTTTGCCAGAGATGTCCGTCGTTGAACTTAGCAGACATTGTCCTGATCTGCCTGACCACAGTGATGATGCCGCCAGTCGCACTTAGAGTTCGAGTATAGAAAACGAGCAGAGATTCAATCCTTCAAGCGGGCCTCATCTTACAAGGTCTCCGCATGATTGTCCTCCTGTCCCACAGTTCCTGCAAGCTTATGGCTTCAGCCTTGAACAAAACCCTTATATAGAGCTCGTTCGGAGCCTTGTAGAACCGAGTGGAGCCCTTTTCAAGAGATCAAAAAAAGCACGCACAAAAGCAACTTCAAACCCTGTAACCAAATACCCTAGACTCTGTATCCAAAAGCCTGGAGCACCAAACTCCTGCATGCTCAGCCGTGCAAACATATGAACGGACTCTCTTGAGAATCTTTTTAAAAAATGGAATGAAAGCGCCCGAGGATGCTGCCTTGAAGGAGCTCTTTGAGGAGGCCGCCAAAGGCCTGTGGCTTGACCTATAGTCACAACTTGCTACTATTGTTGTTGTTATTGTTCTATTCTTGTCATATGGATGTCATTAGTACTGCTGTTGTCATTGTCATTGTGGTCGGTAATAGTTATGTTGTTGTTATGGTTGCCCTATGATTAACAGTTAGTTTATCATATTCTGCCGTCCCTATTCCGAATATTGTAGTCACTTGTATCACTTGTAGTCATTCAAGCTGTTGCCACTATCGTTGGCCCTTTATCACTACTACACTTACTATATACACTGTTTCAAATAATGGTTTGTGTCTATCTACGTACCTGCCTACCTACATACCTACCTGCTTGCCTGCCTGCCTGCCTCGCTACTGTACCTACTGTACCGACCTACCTACCTACCTACCTACCTACCTACCTACCTACCTACCTACCTACCTACCGACCTACCCACCTACCCACCTACCCACCTACCTACCTACCTACCTACCTACCTACCTCCCTCCCTGCCTGCTCTCTATCAATCTATCTATCTATCTCCCTATCTATCTGTCAATCTATCTAACTATCTATCTGTCCA